CTCAGCCAAGGAGTCTTTGAGGTTATTTTGGAAATGAGTCCCATTGGCTGACTCAATTCTTTCCGGGCTACCGTGTTGCCATAAAACTTGCCTTTCATGGCCCAAGATGGTGTGTCAGGCAGCGGCATGGTTTACAGGTATGTTTCTAGCCACCTGGTAGTTGCTTCCACCATGGTGAGTATGTCGCGCTTGCCTTGGCGGGTTCGTGGCAGTGGCCCCACGTAGCCAATTTGACAGGCCTCACCATATCAAAACCCCAGCCACCACCATCTATTCCAGGGAGACTTTACTCCCATGGCTCACTTGACTGTGGCAAATTTTTCACATTCATGGGTGACCTGCATGGTGGTCACCATGGTCATGTCCACCCCTTGGTCACAAGCCCATCTGTATGTTGCAACTCTCCCTAGATGTCCCAGCGTTTCATGGGCCCATCAAGCTACAAATAGCTCATCGTTATGCTCCCAGTCCACATCCACCTGAGCCACTTTAATTTTGGCAGCCTTGTCTACTTGCTTGATGTTTTGATGTTCTTAGCGTTGTGGTTCTTGGGGACATGAGCAGCTACATGACATAGCTTTAGAGCAATGTTTTCTACCCAGGCAGCGATGTCTTGCCACAATGTGGCAGCCCAGATGGGTTTATGTCTGTGCTGCCAATTGGTCTGCTTCCACTGCTGTAGCCACCCCCATAGGGCATTTGCCACCATCCATGAGACAATATAGAGATAGCATACTGGCCGCTTTTCTTGTTCAGCAATCTCTAGGGCCAGCGGGATGGCTTTCACTTCTGCAAACTGACTTGACTCATCTTCTCCTTCAATGGCTTGTTGTGCATGACTCCACACAGCAGCTTTCCACTTCTGATGGTTTCCTACAACGCAATGGGATCCATTGGTAAACAGGTGAAACATAATGCCTTTCAACTTCTGATAACTTATATGGTGGTGGCTCTTGGGCACGAGTCACCTCCTCAGGCTATGCTGCAAAATCTCTGCCTTCTGGCCAGTCCATGATCTCCTCCAGAATTCCTGGGTGGCTGGGATTCTGCATTTGAGCCCATTGTGTGATCAACACTAGCCACTTACTCCATACTGCATCGGTTGTGTGATGTGTAAAGGGGATGTTTCTTTTAAACATCCAGTGTAGTACAGGCAAGTGTGGTGCCAAGGGGAGCTGTGCTTTTGTACTGATGACTTCTGAAGTAGCTCAAACCCCCTCATATGCTGCTAGTATCTCTTTTCCAGTCAGGGTGTCATGGGTTTCCAGTCCTCAATACCCCCAGCTCCAAACCCCTAGAGGTCAACCTGGAGTTTCACCTGGTGTTTTCTGCCAGAGGCTCCAGGCGACACCATGCTCCCCAGCTGCAGTGTAGAGCACATTTTGCACAGCTGACCCTGTACAGAATGGCCCAACAGCTACCACACAAGCTATCTCCTGTTTGATCTGCTCAAAGGCTTGCTCTTGCTCAAGGCTCCACTCAAAATAGTTCTTCATCCGGGTCACTTGATGGAGAGGGCTCACAAGCTGACTATAACTTGGAATATGCAGTTGATTCCAGGTGTATTGGACACCCCTCGATGTGAAAGCAAACTGCGGGCCTGCACTTTGCTGCCAAAGAATTGTGAAAAATGCATTGGCAATATCAGTTGTAGCGTACCACTTGGCTGCCTCTAACTCCAGTTCATATTGGAGTTCCAGCATATCTGGTATGGCAGCACTCAGTGGTGGCATGACTTCATTCAGGCCATAATAGGCCACTGTTAACCTCTGCCCTCCATCACTTTTGCACTGGCTGTATGGGAATATTACCGCCCAAGGGTGAGTGAGTCTGCCTGATCACTCCTTGGTTCTCCAACTGATGAGTCAGCTCATAGATGCAAACCAGGGAGTCTCGACTGGTGCGATATTGCCACCGGTGCACCATCACGGTAGCAAGTAGCACATGTTGTTCTTCAACCCGCAGCAAACCCACAATAGAGGGATCGCCCAAGAAGCCATGTAAGGTAGACAGCAGTCTAATCTTCTCTGTATTCACCGTGGTGACACCAAAAGCCCACCGGTACCCTTTTGGGTCCTTGACGTACCCTTTCCTGAGGTTGTCTATGTCAAGGATACACAGGGCCTCCGGGCTGGGAACAGTAGGGTGCTTTTGCCACTTGACCCTGCTAAGCTCACCTCAGCCTCCAGTACAGACCAGCTGGGATAGCCCTGTCAATCCAGGTGCATTCTGTGCCCTTAAATCCTGATGGCATCAGGGTATACTGTATGCTGGTGTCTACCAAAGCCTCATACTTCTGTGGATCTGATGTGTCAGGCCATTGAATCCTCACAGTCCAATAAACCCAGTCGTCCCTTTCCTCCTCCTGGCCAAAGGAAGCGTCCCTCTGCTACTGGTTGGAGTATTCACTGTCTGACCTTTAGAGTGCCAGGCCAGAAGTCCCTTCACCAGAATCAAGGGAAGCAATTTCAGTCAGCCAAAGCGTTGGTGTATTAGCAACACCATTCTAGCTACCAATACAAAGCACAGCACTATATGGACTGCTCTGGGGAAAGCTAACTCCAGCCCAACCACAATCAAGTGTTTCTTCAGCTAGAGAAAGACAACACATGAAAGCACAGGCGTGAACCACCTTCTGGAATCAGTCAGCAGTGCCAACCCTCTCCTACACTCACACAGCCTGGAAGGGGAGGCATAGCCTCCTACACGTGGTCTATACGCTGCTTCACCAGAGACAATCTTCACACTCGCTGTGAGACACAAGAAAAGAAAAAAGTAGCCGATTCTTTTGACCAGGTGTAAGATTTGGTTGCTGCTTAAAAAAAAATGCCTTTAGGACAAAGAATTCCAGATCAAATAAACTCAGCAGCAGGAAACAGAAAATCAAATGTATGAAAAATAGGAAGATACTAAAAAGGTTAATAAGACTTCTATATAGCAATAGTCCAAGGCTTTAAAACAAGTAGTGAGAAATTATTTATGAGTACCACAAGCAGGGAATGGAATTCTACCAGATCTCCATTGACTATAACGGGAGCTTAAACAACTTGTGCTTATGTAAATACTGACTTGTAGTTACTTTTAGTTGTCTTAATATCAAAATTCATCCCACACAGGATATCTGCAGGTATGCTAACAGGTCTGTCTCATTACCAAGGCATAATGGAGGCGAGGCAAGAGGGGAAAGGAACACTGAAAAATATCTCATCTTTTGTAGCATTCCTTGTTGAAAAGGTTCGTTAGCATACACTATCTCATTGTGGGAAATTGGACCGAAAACCACACAAAGACTGAAGTCTGTTCTAGGAAATGTTGACAGCTTACAGGAAGAAAGTTGTAGGTGCAGAGGACCAGAATACCAAGAATGAAGGTGTACACTGTTTGTAATTATGTAAATCTTTGCTCAAATGAACTGTACATGAAGACCTGAGACTCACATTCTCTAAAATAGCTCTAAGCAGGTTCAGGACTGTTCCCTATCTCCTCAAGTATATCTTATAGCCCAAGTTCAATTGTGCATCACTGTGGTTACATTAGTTTAAAATTATTATGGACGCATTCTATGAGCTAGCACCATATTTTGATTACAGAGCAGACATCCGCAAAGTTTAATAATGTCCACAGTAAGATTCAACAATTTCTGGGCCCAAAATAAATAATAACAAAGAAAGCACTAAAAGAAAAAAAAAAAAAGATATCTTATTTAATAGTAAGATACAGTAAACTACAGCTAACAACTGGGATTCTTTAGTATATTCAGTTTTCCATAAAAAGAGGTGAGAAGTGAGAGACCACGTATAAAACCAGAAAACTCATTCAGGTTAGTAGGGAACTGACAGAAGTGTCATCAAGTTTATGGCGAATGCTGCTATTTGGGATACTCAGCACAATGGTAAAGCAGCTGAATCCAGGGCTATCCAGTGCCAAATGGCCTTTGGAAAGGCCTGTCAAAATTCCAGCTCCTAAGGTACTTTTCTGAATGGAAAGCTGTTCTTAGCTGATCTGTGGTCAGAAAAGAAAAGAAGAAAAGATGATGGAAAATAGCACTGAAACTGATAGATAACATGCATAAAACCAATGGTCTGCCTGCAGTCATCTTTGAACCTTGCCTCCAGCAAAAGAATGGGAAGTGATTCAGGACATTGCTCTAAACACTGTTTTAAAGGCTATTAAGACCTTACTACATGAAATCTTGAAATCAGCCCCAACAGCCTTTCAAGAAAGACTGTAGATTTGCCGTAGTCAAAAAAAGGTAAGCAGGTCAGCATTTAATTCCTGCTAAAACCTGACGAGGTTGAGACCTTTCTCTTCCTGCTTTGCTTAGGCAGTTCAGACCTCAGGGATGTTTTCCATGCACTTCTAAGACATGCTGGCAGGAGCAGGTGCAGGCTCTGAACATGCCTGGTGATGATGCTGGCTTTAACAAAGCACTCATGGAGAAGTGAGTCATCCACACCGTGACAAAACCAAAAGTCAAACCATCCACTTCCCAAAAAGTGCCTTCAACAAGTGGTTGAAAGCCAGTCTAAATGATCACTTTGCAGCAGAAGCTGGAACACTGCATAGGAAAATCTGCAGTGATGTTCACAGGACCAGAAAGCAAGAAAACCTCACTTTCTGACGGTATGGTTAGGATAGATATGTGCGACGACAGTAATCCTAAGGACTGCTCTCTGCACCGAATACAGTGAGCGTATGTGTCATAATGAGTGGCCTCTCTATCTCAGGCCACTGTGGTGTTGTAATAGACAACAGTGAGCCTACGCAGGTCTTTCAAAGAAGAGGTGCCTGCCAGAAGTCCTGAAGCACACCCTCTGCTTGGCTTTTCTAAAAAAGATTGTCTAGGGGTGAATTAGACAGCATCTTTGACTCTTCCCATGAAAAAAAAATGAAGCTTTGCAGAAAACAAAGTACCCTTGCACATCACTTTTCTTTTTTTCCTTTTCTTTTTTTTTTTTTTTTTCCTGAAGCCTTCATTGTCTCTTTCCAGAGAAGAAAAGATGTTTGACATTCTTGGACTCATCTGCATGATTTGGTGGTGTATGATGCTATTTCATCCCTTGCATGCTGAAATCCAGTGTATGGGGTGTAAGTATGTTTTTGCAGGTATAATCTGAGAAACAGGGCTTAATGCTTCATTTATCAGAGAAATTTGCAATTAATCTGGCAATTGCCATCTTAAGCCTGACGGATACTATCCTCTGCATTCACCAAAACCAATAGCATGTCCTTACTGAACTTGGTCTGTAACCCTTCCAGCAAAAGCACAAGAATCACCTATTACGAATGTGAAAATGAATTGGATTAAAAGGGAACTGTCCTGGGAGAGCAGCAAGAATTTCTCTAAGTACAGATGTACCATCATGGACAGCAGAAGGGCAAGTCTACAGAAAGAGGTAAACTTGCTATTCTTTGAGATAAACAATTGCACCTTTTTCTTTACCTTTTATCAGTTTCACTTACTTTGAAAAAATGAATCAGTTGCAGGTAAAATCTGGTCAGTGATTGTTTGCAGTCTACAGCTTGATCTGTCAGGGGTTGTGGAAAGCTGCCATGAATGCCAGGGTGCCTTTGGTGCAGGAGGAGCATCCCTCCCATGCTGTCATGGTTTAACCCCAGTAGGCAACTAAGCACCACACAGCCGCTCGCTCACCCTCCCCGCTACCCTGCTGGGATGGGGGAAAGAATCGGAAAAAAAAGTGAAACTTGTGGGTTGAGATAAAGGCAGTTTAATAGGACAGCAGAGGAAGAGAAAATAATAATAATAACAACAACAACAACAATAAAGGAATATACAAAAGAAGTGGTGCACAAAATTACATTGCTCACCACCTGCTGACCAATGCCCGCCCAGTTCCCAAGCAGCAATCGCTGCCCCCTGGCCAACTCCCCCCAGTTTCTATACTGAGCATGACACCATGTGGTATGGAATAGCCCTTTGGCCAGTTTGGATCAACTATCTTGGCTTTGCCCCCTCCCAGTTTCTTGTGCACTTGGCAGAGCCTGGGAAGCTGAAAAAGCCCTTGACTGGTGTAAGTACTACCTAGCAACAACTAAGACATCAGTGTTATCAGCATTGTTCTCCTACTAACTCCAAAACACAGCACTATGCCAGCTACTGGGAAGAAAATTAACTCTATCCCAGCCAAAACCAGGACACATGCATACCACATAATTGAAGTTCTGGCACCAAAGTGGAAGGGAGGCAAGAGCCTGAACTGTGCTCACGCTGAATCGTGAATAGGGATGTAGCTGCTGAAAAAAAGGGACTGTGAGACTAAGAGAATTTAGAGAGACAGAGCAAGAGAGCCTTCAAATAAAAAGTGAATTCCCCAAACACAGCCATGGATATTCATTATCTCAAGGTCTTCACTTGTTTACCTGTAAATTGGATCATGCCTCTAGCACAGGTTATTTTATAACTATTCAAAGAGAAAAGTAGGAAGCTTGACAGACAGAGATGGCTTATTTAGCCTAGCAAAGCAGATGCCTTAATTAGAAATACATATCACAAAAACACATGACATCTTTATTGAAGATTATAAGTATAATGTCATAGACAACTTTCTGACCAGTGGGGAGGTCAGACAAGGACTTCTATTTTGCTTAATCCTTTGATTAAATTCCATTGTGGTTCCCCCATTTATTAACCATCTTCTGCTGTGCCACTGGGGTAGCATTAGCCTTCTCTAATGGTTGCACACTAGTGTAGAATCCAACTCCTGAGCTGCAAAGCTTTTTGTGTAGTTATGCTTTTGATCACTCAGCTCCATTCTACATCACCCTCAAGTGGTAAAGGAGAGAGTTAGCTCTTGAACCTAAAACACATACATATACACACAAGATTCTGGCCCTGCAAATTGAGCTTCTGAGCTGCATTTCCATAGCCAGCATCATCTAACACCAACAGAGGAAAAACAGAGAAATAAAATATCCACATGTTCTTTTTCAGGTGTATAGTCCACTATGCACGTTTCCAGTGGAAGTATACATGCCTCTGCACAAAGGGATAACCTTTATCATTGAAGTGCCAAACACAAACATCTCAGAAAAATGCACCTTTAACCCTGGAGGTAATGTCTATGGTCTGGGTAAGGTCTTCTCCATTTGTAATCTTTTAAAGGTAAACATTGCCAGAGAAAACAATTCCTTATGCAGTAGATAACTGCTTTATTTTCTATTAAAAATGCTTTTTGCAGATCTGCTAAATTATTTGCTCTGTAATGAATGTTTCCACAATTCTGCAAGAGATGCAGTACTACAGATGTATCAGTGATTGCATTATTCTCTTTCATACTAGGGCTCCAAAAAGCCACTAAATTACGGTGGTTTCAGGGTGGATTCAGATAACTCTTCTGGCTGTTACAAATCAAGATGTTAGTGCCTATTTCTTTATTTAACGCTTTTCTGCTGGGCTGTTGGTGAGTTTGTCAGGAGCCAGACCACAGAGCTAGCTAAAGTCACAGTCTGGGGATCAGCAAAACCCATAAAATGGGAGGAGGAGAGGAAAGGAAATGCTGGTGATAAGCAGCTAGGGGCAAACTGAACGTAGCAATCTCCTAATCGGGCCCTGGCGCGCACATGCACGTGCAGACACACACACGCACACACACCAGTTCCCTTGGCTGCTGTGCACCCACTGAGCTGAGGAAACTGTTTACAAAGATATTCCGAGCCTGCCCCATGTGGGAGTTAATCACAGTGGCATTTAGACAGATCCTAGGTTCACAATTCCAAACCTGAAGTTTTCACAGCCCTTTTCGCCCTTCCTTCTGAACTCAGAGTTCTCCACTACAATTGCCCAGTCGCCACTGCTCCTGCAGCTGCGCGTAACTGTGGTATTTCAGACTTGACAGAGGTGATGAAATCAGTAGCTTACTCGCATCCGAGCAGAGAAAGTAATCCCTACTCATCTCTGCCTGGGGACTTGGCAGAGGAAGCACTCTCACGGTGACCCTCAAAATACAAGCCAGGACACGCTGCCTCCTAAAACCTCTTGCTTTTGGTGTTCCACCCCACCTGACACTAGCCTCCAAGCATGCAGGATCCCTGGGGGAATCTCCCCCTAATTCCACAAGGGTGCCCTCAATACTGCGTGCTGGAGGGGGCTGGAGGCAGCAGGAGAGGAAGCTTCCACTACTTCTCTCTGTAGCACCAAGGATGATGTTAAAAGGATGATGTGTTTAAAGGATGATGTGCCTTCCTTTGCCTGTGTGAATGCTCTACTCGCTCCCAGGTTTCACAGTTCAGAGGCAGTCAAAACCGGGTGAGGGTCCAGCTTTCTCTCAGTTGTCATTCCCAACCCAAGCAATATCCAGCTGGAGTTGCAGGTGTCTAACATTTCTAAGCATGTGCCAAGATCCTCCAGTTTGGAGCAGTCACACAAATCTTCCTCATCGCGGATACTCCTGTGTTTGCAGGCACGACTGGGTCGGCCATTGCAAATTTCTCCTGTGTGATTTATAACGTTTCCCTCATGAACTGCACTTGGCAGGCAGGCAGAGATGCTCCAGAAGATACCCAATATTATCTCTACTGGCAGAACTCGAGGTAAGTAGGTCTACTGGAGTCTAGGGAAATCTGAATTCTCATTTGACACATCACACGGCCCACGTTTAACCAAAATACCTTGCTATATACAGAGACGACGACCAGGTGGAATGTGAGCTTTACATGAAAGGTGAAAATGGCAGAAACGTGGGATGTAGATTCAAAAATGTGAGGATAGAGATTGAAAAAGCCTACTTCCTGGTGAACGGGTCTAGCAAAGACTCCCTGATCGAGTTCTATGATGAGTACATTGATCTGTATAAAATTGGTAAGTAAGAGAACTTTTTTATTTTATTACTGTTTTATAAAATAAGGAAGTGGGGAATTTTTCTCTGAAGAGAAAAGAAGAATAAAACAAAGCCTGTAGCCATTATAGGGTCCTGCACTGCAGGACGGACTTCACTCCTGATAGCTGACAGAATATAGTTCCAAAAATTGACTGAAACAAGAAAAGGCAGAGGCAGCCTGAAATAATGGCTCGGAGTAGTGGTGTGAACACATCTATGGAATCCAACGAATGAAATGCAATAGTTAGAATTTCAAGGCCACCTTTCCGATGGGCTCATTTGCCATCCCTTACTTCCATACTTCTCTGAGAGCCACAGCAGCTACATGTCCTAAAACCAGAGGGAGGGTTCAACTTGTAAATCAGGACTGCGTTAGTTAAATATGTGGGTACCTATGTGTGAGCCAGGCACTTAAGCTCTGATAAAGATCTAGGACAGGATTCACTTGCCTAAAAACATGCCTCTAGCGCCATTTGAGACACCCTCAGACGCTTGAGGCAGCTGCAAGGCTTGCAGATATGGCCCAGGACTGTGAGAGACCAGGGTCTTCCTGGGTGTCCTACGTGGTCTGAAAGGCACAGCATGAGACTGACTCCTGCCGGCAGCCGATGCAGGCTGTAAAGCCCAGAGCTATTCAGCCGAGCATGCCTGCTCCATGCTATGCCAAACAGCTCTGCAGACATCTTGGGCACTACTGGTGAGGTCTCCACTGACTCTAGCAGACACTTAGGTCACACCTCATCAACTATATTGCAGGCACCCAAACTGCAATGACTTGGTCTTCCACCTGAACACTACCACACGCACAAAACCTTCATCTTTTTTTCCCATGGAGACTTGCATTGTTGTCCTGTTTTTGGCTGGGATAGAGTTAATTTTCTTCCTAGTAGCAGCCATAGTGCTGTGTTTTGGATTTAGTAGGAGAAGAATGCTGATAACACACTGATGTTTTTAGTTGTTGCTAAGTACTGCTTATGCTAGGCAAGGACTTTTCAGCTTCCCATGCTCTGCCAGGTACACAAGAAACTGGGAAGGGGCACAGCCAGAATAGTTGATCCAAACTGACCAAAGGGCTATTCCATACCATATTGACATCATGCTCAGTATAGAAACTGGGGGGGGGTTGGCTGGGGAGCAGCGATCGCTGCTTGGGAACTGTCTGGGTATCGGTCAGCGGGTGGTGAGCAATTGCATTGCATTGTGCATCACTTGCTTTGTATATTATCATTATTATATTGTTATGATTATCATTACCATTTTAGTTTATTTCCATTATTAAACTGTTCTTATCTCAACCCAGGAGTGTTTCTCACTCTTACTCCTCTGATTCTCTCCCCCATCCCATCGGGGTAGGGGGAGTGAGCGAGCGGCTGCGTGGTGCTTAGTTGCTGGCTGGGGCTAAACCACAAAAATTGTCAATGTGAAAATTAGATGTAGAAGAAAATGGCACTGTGCTGATTGTACTACTGAATTACACAAAATTCTTTGTAGCTTTTTTTACATAAACTTCTATTACTTCAGATGTCCAACAACTGAAGTGCTATGTTCCCAAGGTTTGCTACTGTATTTTACTCCTGTTTACCAGATACCATGTGTTAACACCCGTAGCACGCAGCTGTACATCAGTTGCCTCAACTTCACATGTATTTTGCTATGAACATGAGTTGTAGCTGATTACTGACCATGTCTGCCTTTATTATTTCTTTTCTTTCCAGAAATACTCACTCCTCCATTAAATGTCACTGTCAATTGTACTGGAGGTCCAGCGAGTTGCAGAATTACATGGCAACCACCCCGTACAAATCATGTGGGAAAAGCAGGCTGTTTTCAGTTTCAAATTAACATACAAAATAAGGTAAAGACAGTTTCTCGGTTTGTATTTGGCACCATACCTACGTACATGCGTATCTATAACATGCAAACTCCTATTTATTAACTTCTCTCCCACAAGTGGTGGTGTCCTCCTGCTCCAGGCCTGCTTATGACCTTATTTCGAACTAACGAGAGGTGCAAAGCACAAAAACAGAGGAGAGCAGGGAAATGCTATGAGGGGTCTCTGTCCAAAGACTGGGAGAGCACCTGAGATGCCCTCCTGCATGAGCATGTCTCACAGGGGATGACCGTGTGACGGCAGCCTGTGATCTGCAGCGAGGGCGCTGCCTGGGCGACAGCTTCCAGCCCAGACCAGGGCCCCTTATGCTCGCCCTCCTCCCCAGGGCACCTTGGCTTCAGCCACCCTGACAGCATTTTGCAGATGATGGAAAGCTCACAGCTGCCCCTCTGTTTCAGCATGTGGGACTGTTTTGCCCCCCTCAGCCTCCGCACCTCTCCCCCACCACCTCTCCCACCGTCTGTTGCCCTTTGGCAGCCATCCCTCAGATGCCGTCCTTCCCCTTGAGCCTGGTTGAGCCAACCTCACCCCACCTGTCTATGCAGTGTCCACCAAAACTTCTGGTCTGAAACCAGTGCTGAAATAGAAACCACTCTTCTGAAAAATTGGGTACCAGCAACTCAGGGGAAAGTTCACGCGGGCTCAGGGTACACGTCGGCAATGGACGCGTTTGCTTTTCAGTGAGTTACACCTGCAGTCAGATGTGGTGTTACCCATCTCCTCCCAAGGTAGATGACAGACAAATCATGTCCTTAAAGTCCTTCTTTCTTTCCATTGGCTATAAGAGAGGAACCTAAGAAGGCTATCTCAGATGTAAACATGTAAGTACCCAAAGTGAGCTGGGATTTCTCCTACGCTACATGCACAGCACTACCAATTTACCACAGTGGCCACAGGAAAAGCGCAGGACAACACAGAGCATGCCATTTCAACTTGTATTGAAGTTGAGGTATGTCACACAGCTGAGATATGTCTGGTTTCCACCAAGTACAACGGAGCAGAGAGGCTGACGTATCAAATCCTCCTCCACAAATCTCAGTCCCCAAAGGACCTGATTTTAACACCCCTAAGGACAAAGGGCATGAAAATTCTTGGAGCCCACGAATTTGACAAGGAGGCAAGAGACCATAGAATCATAGAATCGTTGAGGTTGGAAAAGACCTTTAAGATCATCCAGCCCAACCATTAACCTAACATTACCAAGTCCACCACTAAACCAATTAAGGGGAGAGTAGCAATTTCATGTTTCCTGGCTTGGTGCCTGGATTATTTTTAATGAAAGCAAAAACTAGGAATCATGAAGGTTGGAAAGGATCTCTAAGATCATCAGTCCAACCATCAACCCAACACCACCATGCCCACTAAACCATGTCCCAGACTGCCATGTCTACCCATTTTTTGAACACTTCCAGGGATGGTGACTCCACCACCTCTCTGGGCAGCCTCTTCCAATGCTTGACTGCCCTTTCCATGAAGACATTTTTCCTAATATCTAATCTAAACCTCCCCTGGCGCAGCTTGAGCCCATTTCCTCTTGTCTTATCGCTAGCTACTTGGGAGAAGAACCCAACACCCACCTCACTACAACCTCCTTTCAGGTAGTTGTACAGAGCGATAAGGGCTCCCCTCAGCCTCCTCTTCTCCAGACTAAACAACCCCAGTTCCCTCAGCCGCTCCTCATAAGACCTGTGCTCCAGACCCTTCACCAGCTTCGTTGACCTTCTCTGAACACGCTCCAGTTAGCACTTTTCCTCCCCATCCCTGGAATACCTGTTTCACCATTACATGATTTCCACACGTGGATAACCTCTGCGCCGTGACAGATTAGGACTCCCTACCTACCCCATTTGCCAGCCACAGCTCAGAAGCTTACCGCAGTGGCAATTCCTCAGGCATTTGTAACACAAGACCATTACAGGAAAGATCAGCTAAGGGTTAAACATAAATATACAACTGCAATAAAGCAATACATCATTAAAACTCATTAATTTGTTCAAAACAAGGCCTGCAGCTTGCATGCTGTTTGGATTGGCTGGATTTTGGATCTTGCATGCATTAATGGTATCTACCTTGATAGCTCTTTCAAGGAGCAACTGCAGTACATGTAGCTTTCCAGCTGGCTGGTAGAATTTGACAGTACTAGGTCCTGTGTGAAGTACTTAGAATATTTTACATAAAGATAAAGGTTACAACGTAGGACTAAAGCAACATTATCAAAATGTTTCTTTTAAAGAAATACACGTTACCTCTTCTTTCCCGCGCGGCAGTCAGAACGGGTAGGGTTCAGTAGATTCCCACACGTGGGTGTGACATTCATCTCACAGACTGAGACACCTTAATGTAGGTGCACAGATATCCCATAACGCTCAATGCAGATCTAGGGCTCCCTGCAGCTGAGCAGTAGCTGCCTCATGCCCCTTTAGGTGCTATAGGTACTGCAGGTACCAGAGGTACCTAATGCAGAGATGGCAGCTATAACTCACACCTTTCGGGAGGGGCCATCAGAGGCAAGGCAGGATACCTAGCTGCAGGATACGTAGCAGCTAAAATGGCACTATACATCTAAGTTTAGGCAGCTCAGTTGCACCCTCCCTGTTCACAGCAAAGGCTGATGACTTCCATCACGTCCTAAATTGAAAGAGCTCAGCTGCCAGTGAGTAATGGGGAGATACAAGTCTAGGGGGGTTGGGCTAGATGATCTCTCAAGGTCCCTTCCAACCCAAAGCATTCTATGATTCTATGATTCTACTTTATAACGTGACATACATGGCAGGCATCTTTTCTGAAATGAGGCATTCCATAGCATCTTTCTGACTTCTCTGTAATGCCAGCTATCCTTCTGACATTACGTGCGATAGATGTTTCCAGCACCTCAGCTTTTCAGTTTTCTGGGATCCTGGCTAAAATCACTGCTGCTGATTTTGTTCACTCATTTTTGAATCCCTCCTTTTTTCAAAATTTTCAGCTTCTTTGACCCAGGTCAGTGCTTGATTCTAGTTAGTTAAATTTTGCTTGTATATGCCCTTGTGGAAGTTCTGTTGTGGGGATTATACATGAGTTGAATGTTAGGTCTTTGAAGTCTGTGTATTCCTAAGTTCAGTACCATTGGTGTCCGATGGCTTTTAGAGTCAGGTCAGGTTCATCAATTTTGTCTATTATGTACAGGATCTGTCAGGGTGGTAGGGCAAGCAGGATAAGAATGATGGCTGGGAGGATTGTTCAGATCAGTTCTACTTCTTGAGCATCAACAGTGTTTCAGGATACGTAAGTAGCTCTTCACAGTACTTTGGGGAAAGCCCCAGAGTATGGATCACTCCGATGTCTAACAGAGACTTTGCCTGGAAGGAGGGTAAATTTGCTGTTCACATCGGTTTTACGCCCCACATTATCAAACTGTTGAGGAATCACAGCTTCCAGACGTGCTCTGTTTGGAGGATGATTTGAGTGCTTGCGCAATTTGAATATACTGCTGCTGCAGGAGAATGCACAGTGAAAATACACCCTTAGAGGCAAATATAGTTTCTCACAACCACTGATAAATAATTAATGATTCCTTCCTTTTCTCAAATGGCATGGAGGAAGCCAAAACTGAATAAAGTGCTATATTCTGGGACATGACTAGAGCAGAAGAGCCAATTGATTTTCCAGTTTAAAATTACTTATGATCTTTATAAGTAAGAAAATGAGAACAAAAGAGGGAGATATATTTGATTACTTGACAAGAAAATAATAAAAATGAAGATTTGTCTTTGGTTTGCAGGATGACCCCACAGAAAAGAAAAAGAATCTGACTGTACAAGTAAGTATTCTTGTCCTCTATAAATTTGTGCTTTTGCCCACTTAAGCGTATAGATACCATTATATAGAACACAGTTACTTCTAGAATTATAGTTTTTGTATCAATAGAGCAATAAGAATTCAGGAAGGTATGTTCCTGTGGTATCTTTATGTGGAAACTTCTTAATATATCCCTTTTGGATAGGGTAGCTTACACTAGGCAAAATGTTCCACGAATTTCACAAAACTTCATACTTCCCATTTATCACACAAATAGATTTTGATTAAGACAGATGTGACATTTTGCTTAATACAAATTGGAAAAATTGTCTGTCTTCTATCTCTTGGTGGAAAAATACTACCGTAGTTCAGGACAGCTAGATAAAGGGAATGCTGAGATCTTCAAAACCTGTGGAAGTTCACTGGGATTCCAATACACACCGTCTGTCAGCCTTCCCCTGACAAATGAGTGGCCCTTTCAGCCCTGGAAGCGTCTTAGGCTTGGCAGGTTCCAGACTTTGTATAAAGTGTCATGAGGCCAGATGATACAAATCTGTTATTGGATTCTCTCAGAAACATTGTCTGTTTAGCAATCCAGGGAGTATTTGCATGAGTAGTCCCCGTAAAGGTTGCAAGGTGAATTTACAGGGTGTTTCTCCAGTTTCAGCTTTCTGTCCTTCCGGTTCTTTTAGGATCCATAAACAAGGACATGGAAAAAAGTGCCCTTAAAGCATCATAAATTAAATTAAATTAAAGACCAAATAAACTTCAAAATCCAACTTTAAGCTTCAAAAACCAGAAAGATTCGGTGGCAGGATGAACCAATTTATCACAGTTTAAAATCTGGGGAGAAGAACATTTAACTGCTACATACTTACAGAATCTTACAAATTAGTTTCTTATACAAACCATATCAAGAAACTAACCACCAAATTTTATTAGTATTTCCCTATGGGGTAAAATGTATAGTCTGATTGCTTTGATTTTAGGTGCGGGACACCACATACGAATTCCAAAATTACAATGAGAAAAAGAAATACATTCTGAAAATCAGAGCACGTGGAAAATACTGTCCTGTAAGCTCAAACTGGGGGGAATGGAGTGAACCCATTGAGTTTGGTAAGACTGAAATACTATTTTAACATGGGTTTTTTTTTTTTTAGTATTACCATGCTTGCCTCCCTTTCTCCCTCACACTCACAGATATGAATAAAATCTTAATTCTTACCCAATGACATGGAAGGAACTGGGTGGAAATTATTAATGTGGAGGAGATACTTGAGTACTACAGCAACAGAGGCTGATACCAGCTTTTGATTAGTTGGGATTGTGAAAGCAGCAGTTTCTCAGATGCCAGGGCTACAGGAACAGGCTGAGAAAGACCCACTCTTGTCTTCAGTCCAGAGTGCTAAGGCTACCTTTCAGTTCTTTCAATTTTTGGCATGAATATCATCCTCTTCCTCCCACATCTTCCTTTTCACCGTTCCTCAACACTCTTTTTACAGTTCCACCACTTGTACTCTGTTTTTCATTGTGACACTGTTTCTCCTTCTCTGGATTTTTTTTTTTTTTTTTAATTCTCTACATTTAAACTGTTTGAAACTGTTTAAAATGCATCAAGTCCTTCAGATTATTTGAAAAGGGGTGAAATTTGCATTCATTATTGACAGTCACCAAGGTCGCTTTTTGGCATGCTAAGATATCTCTCTTTCTTGGATGTTTCAGGTCAAGAGAAAGATCACTTTATTTTTGTGATTTTATTTCTGATAGCACTTGGAACAATCTCAGTGACACTGCTCCAATATTGTCTTTTCAAAAGGTAAGTCAACCTTGTTGATATGGAAACTATTGATACAGTATTATTTCTATGAAACACATTCCTCCTATCTCCTACCTTCCTACCTTCAAACTTTAATTTTATTATTAATGTTAAAGCATTATTACCAGTATTGTTGTGGATGCCACTTCAACATGTAAAATTACTACAAGTGAAAAAAAGGGGGAAAGGATGTTAGTGATTGATTCCACTAGATCCTGCAAAAAACATTTCTGTTCTTACTTTTAAGCATTTAACATCCACATTACTTTGAAGCCACTGGCTTCATACAGTAGCAGACAAGAGGGGATGAGGACAAATGAACATGTCATTATTTTGATAAGACTTCTCACTTAGTGGTGGAAGCAAGTTATGTTGTGTGATTTATTGAAAGCCATTGTTTAATAAAGTATTTACTGTGACTCATCAGAAAATAAATTTTGGTTACCCAAGTGATAAGATAGTTACCCACCAGTCTACATGCAAAATGTTTTCCTTCTCACTTAGTGATTTGTAGAGCAATAGCTATTCAATCTTGAAAGTAAAAAATGTCCTTAAGGTAAAACACAAAATGTTTCTTTAAGTTATATTACGAGCATTTTTAATTTCTTCACAATCCTATTTTCTACGCAAAGGTATTGTAGCTTCAAAAGCATATTTTCTCCCGTTCCACAACCAAGAGACAAATTTAATGTATCAACTGATGAAGATATCCAGGTATGTTTTCTTTTCAATTCAGTCAAATTTTTTAACTATAAACCACAATAGGCCAAAGACTAGAACAATTGGCATATAAAGACAAGTGTTAAATCTGGTCCATTAAAAACTAATTTGCTCCCATGCAGAGTATGCTGTTTTGAAACTAGAAATGCTCTATTGCCAGTGCTGAGACTAGTGATTATCCTGTACATATTTGCAGCCATACTTCAAGACCAGAGTTATCACTTTTAGTAAGACCAGTAATTTCTACGTGTACCAGTTTTGCTAGGTTGGTGTCCATACTTTGAAAATAACCTAAATGACAAAGCATTTGCCATTAGCATTTTCAAATATCAATGATGATAATACAATGTGAATATATACATTTTATAAGTCTGACCCATACCCATGTAAAAAAACCTGTTGCATTGAATCATGAAAAGCAGGGCTGGAAAGTCTCACCAGCTTAACCAGCCTTCCTCTCTGCTTCAGCATAGGATGAAGACAATTTTGATGTTTTGTGCAAATTGTGTTCCAGTGATATTCTATAGCATCCCTATGCAGTCTATTCTAATGTTTAATTATCTTCACTTTTAGAGAGCTTTTTTAATAGCCTGTTTTACTGCACTTAAACATTACATCCTATCCTTACTCCTTTCCCGTTTACAGCATCTTACACACTTGCACACTGTCAGCAGCAACTAACTCTTCCAGTCTTTCTTCACATCATGACAACCAGTCTTCAAAGCCTTCATGCTTCTCTTCTCATTCGTTCATTTGAAGAGTGGTTTGCACGGTGCCTGCATAGTGAGGGAATGTTTTGTATCAGCTGGCTAAAGCAAAGATGTGCTTGTAAGTCAGTCAATGAGGCTAGTTGTTTATTGCCTGCAATGTTTCAGTGGGCAACACCACCCTTTTCAATGAGGCTTTCAAAAGTAACACAGAAATTTTCTATCAATCCTTTACAAAGAATCCTCAAGGCTATTACTACTACAACTTTCCAGTTTTGGAAACTATATACCAGCACACTGCCCTAACTTTTCTTGGGTCCTGCCATCCTAGGCTTTAATAGAAAGGCAGGTAGTGATGTAGCTTGGATCAGTTTCCTCATACATCTCAAGTCATGAATACATGACACCTCACTTCATATCAGGCTGCCAGAGCTAAGGCTACAGAACAGCAGTCTGTAGTCCATCAAATTATTAAATAGTAATTGCTAGTAAAGTAGCAAGCAGTCCTTCAAAACCTGCAGACCTTCCAGATTGCTTGCTTTTACTAAATTTGAGGGGCTTCCAAATTCCTGTACATACAGTACCAGAATTACTCAAGTCACTCCACTACAACCCAGAAGCCTTTGTGGATGTGGTTTTGTAGACTGTGGCACAGGCACTTCCATGCAGGCAGCAACTTATCAGCAGTAACTGTCAGAGTTCAAGTGAAGCCCTCAGCTCAGGTTGCCTCATGCCTGCCAACAGGCACTGCAAAGGTAATTCATAAGTCTCTGACGTGTCTGAACACCTTCTAGACTTTTCTTTGCCTATCTTAATCTAATCTTAAAGCCTATTTTACCTCTTTTCTCCACACTCGGGTATCAAACACAGATTGAATGCTGTAATTCTTCAAAGCGGGTAATAAAGCACAAATAGGTTATCTGAGGAGAGCTCTCCTCCTCCACTGAATACCAGGACTCGCTCTTCCTGGCATTCAGCACTCATGTATTTGTGAGCTATGTTGAACCTGTAACAGCCTTTAATCACACCTTTTTAAAGCTTGCATTCCTTAATTTTGTCCCTGCTTTACTACCTTTCACATTTTCTCATTATTTGTCCTGTTTCACAATACAACTTTTCCTTAGATCACCAAAACCCCTCATGATTTACAACCCTAACCTTTCTGCACTGAGTTTGCACTTGTATCCTTAACACTCATGCTAAAGAGCTGCCAGTTTTCCTATTTGCTGTGGGTAAGATCCTACCAACAAATTCACTCAGTTCATCAGACACCTTGCATTCCTCTACCCCCCCCCCCTTTTTTTTTTTACTCATCTTCCTTCACTTTTCAGTCATTGTCACCCAAAATGCTTTCTTCACCCTCACTCAGAATTAAACTTTTAATACTTGGTTTTCATCTTTTCCTGCATCAAATACATTCCAAGAACTTGCGAGACACACAGTTTACAGATGCATTGCTTTCCTCAGTGAATGGCCAAGAAGCATAAAACACCATGACCATGAAGCTCTGCACTGTTTACCACTCCCACAGATTTCCTAGACAAAATTCCCCTCCAAGACATCCTGGTTTGATGTTCTGTAACATACCCTCAATACGACAGCAAGATTGGTTTTCCCTTGCCTTTCTCCCCTGCCTCCCTTTTTTTTTCCTAGTACTATCCTTCCTACTTTTTTTAAAATAAAAATTATCTCCCCTTTGTATTTTAAGCCCCAAGTCCTGTACCAGGACTATGATCTTACCTAGCAACTTCCACTCTCACAGAACTCTGGGTTAACCAACATAAAACCATATGATAGAAACCAAAATGTTCTCTCTGTAAGTCTAGTTAATGCCTACATATGGCAAACTCAGGCAATACTCACTGAATAAATTTCTTCTATTGCCTCAGTTGAGATTGTCCAGCATTTCAATCAACCTTTATTCCTTTTCCTTCAGCTGACATACAGCTAGCACTGATCATACATGTTAAAAATCAAACAATCCTCAACTGTCCTTGAACTGTTTTCTCCTGCTTTGCAAGCATTTCTTAAGTATTAAAATAGCAAGACGAGGTGCCTCTGGTACTGGTGTGTCTAACATTTAGAAATGTTCTCTGATCATCAAGTGACTTTGTAGTTTATTGCATGTCACAAAATTTTCTCTTTAGACAGAACACATAATTCCACCAAAAAAAAGTTGTACAGAGGAAATAACTACAGTTGAAGAGATGACCTAACTTTCCAAAACCAAAACACACTTGGATTCCCCAATGTGAAAGAAAATCATGGATCCTCCTGATAACTAAGGAGTACTTCAGAGCATGGACTAAATTTAGAGTATCATCACCTAGAACTTTATCTGTTCCCTTTGTTCAAAACCACACCTGGCAGCTAAGCTTTTCTGCAAACACCTACTGTGAAGACTTGCTTAAACCCTGCTGAAATTTTCTTCACAATGAGAGACAAGGCCTCGCATCCACAACACAGAAGCAGCTTATCATTTCCTGTCTTCATTGCTGTGATGCTCTTTCCTCGGAATATAGTATTTTCCTATATGGTAATAGGACTGCTCAAGAATGCCACAGTAATTAGTTTTCCCAGCTTATCATTTTTATATACCCAGAATATTTTCTGAAGGGGAAACTAGGTATTCAAAGTGTATTTAAAATTGCCCTTCAACCTTCAAACCAGCAGTACCAAACCATCTCAGTACATTCAATAAACTTTATGCAAAACAGAAAATAGGAAATAGATGAAACTTGCCAGAAGTAACTATTAATGCTGGGCTGCCAGTCAGCCATTTCATTAGTTCAGTACTTCCAATGCAAATGTGAACCTCTGCAATATTAATATGAACTCACATACTGTATTTAAGTCTTCAAAAAATCCAGTAAGTTGTGAGAATTGGAATAAAATCTATAATAAGATTTAATAACTGGATGTTAAATGTAAAGATTTCTTCACACCAGTGCATTTTATTTATTCCCTTCAAAGTGTGCAAGCCCTATTTCCAATGCCTTTTAAAAATAATATAGGCTTTAGATGCCAGTCTTATGAATTCCAGATATTGTCCTGTTAAAAATATTTTTCAAAATACATACATTTCATCAAATGTTTCAATAAGGCAGAAAACAAATGCTTTTTTTAAAAGTCTCATTTATTGTTTGCCTCTTGTGTTCCCACACTGCGTAATCACACACTGAAAATTGCTGCTGCACAACTAAGGGAAGCTATATACTAAAAAAATGAACACCAAGTAGTACATGCTGAACGCACAGCACAGGTAAAATGCAGTTCCACTTAAATAACCCCACACTTCCATTGATTCCTTTTCCTATGTCTTCTGGTTAAAACCTAGTTCTGGAGGGGAGGGATGAGGTGGGGTGAAACATCCCCTCCCCCTTTCAGGGATTGCTCAAATAATTGTCATGTTTGGTTCTTCCTCACGAAGCTGGGGCCACCACACACTCACAGTGAGGTTACGGGAGGTATTCTATCATTATCTCTACTTTCAAGCCACTAATACAGAAAATAAACCTAAGCAATGTATTTATATAAACAAAAACTCTCCCCCTGTCCCCCGAAATCAATATAATTACAACTGAAACAGCAGGTTGATTGGCAAGGCCAACACCGAATGACCTGCCCACACCATGAGAGCTACCATTACCGAACAGGATAAAAACACTTGCAATAGGTACACAAAGTTTGCTATTAGTCTGTGTACAAAGTAGCTGTGTAACATACTTACATTCACATACAGATGTTGAAAGCAGTGCTGCTGCACAGTGAAAGGAAAAAGGTAAATTATGTTTGAGAGGAAGGTAATAATCAGCCAAAGCAAATTAATTTAGTTAATTTAAATACTTCATCTTGAACAGCAACCTCAGAAGGCACACAAAAGAACTCAAGACAGCTCAGTCAGCCTTCAATGACTCATACAATGACACACTGTCTCCTTCTCAAGATATAGGGAGAACTCTTAAAAACATGATTGGAAGATGAACATCTTGTTTTCCTTTACTGGTCCCCCTACCATGTCTTTGCAGATTACAAAGTACAAAACTAAGATTATATACATAGGAAGAATGGCACATAGGTATTACATTATGTCAATAGCAGTATGAGAAATTATTCTATCTAATTTTGGTCTTCCAACAATCCCCAGAACTACACATCAATCAGTTAATATTGAAGGCTGACCTACCTTGATCTATATTTTACAGCTACACTGAAGTATACATATTCCCTCCCACACACCCCATCAACTTCACCTCTTAGAATGAGCCTCATTTCAGATTAAATTCACTTTCCACAGAGGTATGGACCACTGCTACAGATTAGGCCAAACAATACCCTGAATGGCACAATCAGCATTTCCAAATAGCAGCAACAATACAATACATAGGTTACTCAGAAGTTGAAGGCATTTACTAGGCTCCTGGGTTTTTGCATGAATGCCATGTTGCTTTCATTCATTTTGAAAAAAAAAATTCATTTTAAGCTGCTTTACCAAGGGCAAGAGGGTTACTTTTTCACTGTCCTTGGGACTCTGGGTTCTCCTAGCGCTACAACAGAAAAAAACCCATTTGTTATTGTACAAAAAGTTGCAAATCATTTTTTAAGAATCATGCAAAAAGCCACTTGCAGCAGCCCATCATACACTATCAGGCACAAAGAATGGGAGTGGTTTCTATTAGTTTAGCCCATGCTTCCCCCACAAAGTTCTCACATTCAATTATTTCTTAAAAAAAAAATCAAGCTTATTCTGTTACAGAGTGCAGTGTAAATGTATCAGAGGAACCATTATCTGAAACAAGTTTTCAAACAAAAGAGGCTTTCCCAAAGCTTTTATGTAATAATTTCAACACAGACAGAGTAAGTATGTTTATTGTTTTACAGCAGAATGCCCCAATTTAAGAACAAAATTGCTAGATGTTCAGCTGTGCAAAATGGTACATAGTGCTTCAGTACAAATGGAAAAGAACATGATTTGTTAGCAAGTACTTTCAAATACAATTTTATGGTCCTAGAAGATAGGACTTGAAACCGGGGACTGATCCACAGGCGAACAGTTTTTTCTGCCTAAATTGGACCCAGAACCAACACCACTTATTCCTCATTGCTGGAAAAGAAAAAAATCACCACACTGAATTGCCAGGTTCAGTGTCTTCATGCACATTACTGAGAAATGGATCAGTCCTCTATGTCAGTTTCTAGCCCCATCTACAAACATCATCTGGCTCCGATAAATAAGACTCACAGGAATTTCTTGAAGGTCAATGGTCCATAATGGTAGTTATTCTACATGATCTGCTCAACTTGATTTCCAACTCTAGTTAGGCTGCTTAAATGATTTTCTTGAATTCGTCGTACAGCACAAGCACAAAAGCACCCCCCATGCCTCTGAGAACATTAGACCATGCACCCTTGAAGAAGGCCTTTCCTCCCTCATCCCTTGCAATCTTCCGCCAGCAGTCAATTGTTCCAGAGTACATGATATCAGCTGTAGAAAAAGAGCAAAGAATCATTTTTAACTCCTATAATTGTATCCAAGATGTTTTTACCAACTGCCCTGTTTCGCTTCTCTAGCTACTTTGCGATGTCCCAAACCACATTTCAAGACAGTAACACAATACTAGCTCAGGCAATAGAAAAGCCTCCTATCTGCTTGCCTAGTTATTAAAAGCTAAGTCACAAAATAAAAATGTTAAGCGTTCTTTTTGGCAATTGTACTGTGTCCTAATTGCTTTCATTTAATCTGTCATTGCAAACAGGCAGTCCCATTTGCTCATTTCATATTCTATAAAGAAAAGTCCTCAGCATAATTCCTGACAAATGCTGCAAGTTATGACACTACTGCATTTCCCCATATCATTTAAATGTAACATAACTGAACTCTTAAGTGCTGAGGGATGACTATGAGGAAAAAAGCACTCCATTTGGTTGTGTAGGTTAATGGTTGGACTGGATGATCTTAAAGGTCTTTTCCAACCCAAACGATTCTATGATTCTATGATTTTCTTAATGCTGCTTCAACAACTGCACAAGTTAACAGCCTACCTCCTTTGCGTCCTGACTGCATCATCATCCTACGTCGCACTGTATCAAAAGGATAGGAGACCACGCCAGCCACAGCAGTCACCGTCTGGGCAATCATCCAACTGATAACAATATGAGTATTTCTGGGATCCGGGAGCATGCCTGCGATAAAAAAGTAATTAGCTTTTTACCTTGTACCTCCTCCTCCAGTTCACTCACTGCATGACACCTACTTTACTTAATGAGGTATTATGAAACACTGTAAAGCCATACTTTGAAGTTGCACCAAGACACCTGATTGAATTTAAACATACTGAAGCAATATTAAAAGAAAAAAAAAATCAAGTAAGTTCATAGGATTTTCTTCTCAATAATCAAAACAGGTAACATTCGGGCACCAGGATTCTTTTCAGACTGGCATAAGAGATCGAATATTCCCTACTCTTTTTAGAAATAAATGTCACTAAAATAAGTCATTGTCCCTTTGAATTACATTAAACTATATGCTAGCATCAACAGCCTCTACGCCCAAATGTCAAGCTTAACAAGCGCCTTCTAAAAGCGCCGCTTAATCCCATTCTGCTAGACACTCCTGAATTTATTTAATATAACTACAGTAATACACTGAACAAAAAAGAACTTGTAATTGCATACTGTTACCAACATGCTTTGCTGGCATTAGGAAAAACTCCTTTTAAGGAGAAGTACAAACCCAGGAATATTTGAAAGTACCCTGCGGCCATCAATACATGCCCAAGTTCTGCCTTGAACACTGCAAATGTCACTGATGTTGGCACCGATAACCCCCTTCCACCTCCAGTCACATAAATCATAGTTACTACAGACAGACACAGAGTAACATCCAAGAACAGACATGAAGAGAGAATACAATGCCGAAAACAGGTTTATCAGATCCTCTCTGAAATTTTACCTTTCGCTGTATCATAGATCCCAAAGTAGGCAGCTCTATAGATGATGATGCCTTGGACAGAGACATTGAACCCTTGATACAAGCCACGCAGACCATCAGACTTGGTAATTTTGACTAGACAGTCCCCTAGACCCGTGAATTCTCTGTCAGCACCAGCTTTTCCAACATCAGCAGCCAAACGGGTTCTTGCAAAATCCAAGGGGTAGACAAAGCAGAGGGAAGTGGCTCCAGCTGCACCACCAGAAGCCAGGTTACCAGCGAAAT